AGACGGAGGGTGGACATGGGGAGCGCCCAGCGAGAGGGGGGCTCGTAAACCCTTGCAGAGGACTGAGGGAGGGCCGAGTTCACGGGCCTGCAGGATTCAGGACGTGTGTTCTCTCCACTGTAAGGCGGTGCTCTCGGTTAACGGGATTGTCACCAAGCGTCGGGCTCACTTCCCAGCGTGCACAGAAGCCAATTCTAGGGCACTGCCCTTTGAGAGAAGAAAAGGCTTTATTGGGAGTCGGCGGGCAAGGAGCCAGGAGCCAGCACTCAAGTCCGTCTCCCCATTGGGGGCGGGCTGAGCTCTTGGCTAGTCTAACTGGTCCCTGGTGACGCCAGTGCCGCCAGTGTGCCGGCCTGGTGGTGGTAGCAGCTAGGAAGTTAAAGCTTTTGCCCACTGCGTGTGTCTGAGCTGCGTGACTTGTGATTTTGGCTCTGCGCCAAAGTCTGGAACAGCCTGAGCCATGGTTACCCGGTTTGAGCTGGTTCCGAGGTTACAGGACAACTTACTGCGTGTCGGGGTACAAACATGGTGAGAGCACGGGGCTATGGGAGACGTGATCTAGGTTCTGCCACCACTCGCTGTGTGACACTGTATTATGACTCCACCTCTCTGGGCTTCAGAGCCCTCACTTGTAAACGGGTGTCGCTGTGGAGGGAGTAACTGTCGCATCTCAGCTTTGCACAGCAACAAGACAGCTCCCTTAGACTTCTTTTTCTAACCTAAACTCTTTGCTCTTTAATCATTTCCTCTAAGTCTTCTTTTCTAGACCCCAGGTCTCTTGATGTCCCCTGGACAAACACATTTCACTTTCTTAGACTATGTTGCCCTAAAAAAAGTTCCAGATGGCTCCTACGAGGCCAAGCTGCAGCTCGGGACACCCTTCGTAGTGTGACCAGGTACTCCCAGTGACGTTTAATTGCATTCTCTGCGATTAAGGTAATAAAATAAATGAACACCTCACTGTGATTCAGTTTCTCTAAGTTCGTGAAAAGTTTTTGTAGAACTAAAATCATAAATCAGAAAGACATGTTTTGTCCCAGTTCACGCACATGTGGCTGTTCACTAAGCTAACGCACCTTGTTATGGCAGGACGGGCCCAGCCTCCTGGCCTCCTTAGGTGGTTTGGTACCTTGATTCGGTCGGCATAGTGTACGGCACGGTTGGACAGTTTCGTGCCGGAAGGGACCGTGGCAGTCAAGCCAGCCCTCTTATTTCTGTGTTGTTTGCAAGTCTGACAAGCGCATCTTCTGTGCCTTCAAGATGTTGCATGTGTCAGAGCCGTGCAGCCCACCACTAGAGACCCTTTTCCAGGTTGACGTCATTTGTCAGTCAACACCCTGTTCAGGGTTGCTCAGCCACCTCTCACTGTGAACCAACCACAGTTCTCCTTAGAGATCATGAGATAATTTCTCAAAGTTTCTCCTTTTCTCAACATTGATACCAAAACATTCTCCTCCTGGTGTCGAGTCTCATATTGTAAATAGTGACAGTCCAGCTGAAGAATGTCAACTTGTATATTAACTAGATAAACAACTCTGTAGCTGTACGCACAACTGAAGGCTCACATGAACGTGTGCGCTGGAAGGAAATTTTGATGGTGGTTAGATTAGAAAATGGATTATAAGTGTTCTTAAAATTTAGTACTGGGATTACACTACTTTCATATCATAACTTACATCTTCAACTGAAAGTACGTCTGTTCTTTTCTCACCCTCAGTTTTGTTTTTGTGGCTATTTTGAGCACATCTCTTATGGAAGTAGCTGGGGACCGTCGGGGTGCGCAGAACGAGGCTGGAGCTCACTCCCACAGAGAGCCCGGGGTCCTAGAATGCAAACGTACCCTCCACCGATCGTGGAGAAATCCTGATTATTTCTGCTTGCTGGACACAAAAACCACACCCCCGGCAGCCACCCAGCTCTTCGAACTGTGGTCGTGGAGCAGGGAGAGGGGTGACACGCTGGCCCGGAGCGGAGCAGCTGCTGAGATGTCGGTGTGTGCTCTGCTCGCCGCTCCTCCCGCGCGCTTTCCAAGAGGAGCGAGGTGCGCTGTGCCCGGGGAGCCCCCACCGCAGAAGCCGCCTGAAGACAGCCTCTGCCGGCTGCTGCCGCCGAAGGAGACTACCTGAGGTTTCCGCAGCAGGATGGAGAACAGGCGAGTGTCTTTTCGGGGAGAAAGGTGGCTGTGAACGGAGACAGATGACAATTTCCCAAGACTTAGGGCGGGGCTAGGGCTGCTGGCCCTTCCAGCAGCCAGGCCTTGCCCTCTGCCCCCGAGGAGGTGCGGTCCTCGAGGCTGTGGCTGTGTGGGGCCCAGAGGCGGGACCCACCACGGAGGCTTCCAGTCTTGGCGCGTCCTGGGCATCAGGCCAGGCAAGGCGCAGCCGAGCTGCCGATTCCACGGGACCCAGCAGGCCGGCCTCGGATGCACCTGCCGTGGTCGAGACAGTGGAGGCTGCAGGGCCCGCCCTGTGTTTTGGGAACCACAAAAACCTTCTGGATTCTCCTGCTACCCTAGGGAGGGGCTGGAGCCCCCGTGATGGCTGGGATGGAATTCCCGGCCAGCGCGGTGGAATGGTGAGCTTTGTTTCATCTGATTCTTTGAAAATAAAGGCGACGCTTCCTGCACACCTGGCTCAGCGCTGGCTGATTCACAGTCAGAGTTCACAGCAGGCCTGGAGCACGGCCGGGTGGGCGGGGCATCAACTCCAGATTCTTTCCGTCCGCCTCGGTCTAGCAACGCGCTCGAGCGCGCACCTGACGGCACCGGACACAGGGGGCGCAGGGGTGGAAGGACGCGGCTCCCTCGCGAGCGCCCGGTGGGAGGGAGCGGGCAGGTGGCAACGGCCGGTGTGAGGGGCCCCCGGGCAGAGCACTGAGCAGCGCAGCACGAGCAGGGGACACGATGGCTCCTTACTGAGCACCGTCTGGGTGTCCCCACGTCGCCGGAGGCACACAGGGGCGGGGCCGTGCCACTGAGATCCCGCTCCTGGTGGCCTGGGGTGCGCTGCCCCGTGCTCCGTCCGCACCCGCGCAGCGCCCCAACCTGGCCCTCTCGCTTGTCTGCCCCGACTCTGCACTTGCCCATTCTCCGGGTTTGCACTACTGAGGGCCCTTGGGCTGCACGGCGCTGAGGCGGGTGGGACCGACCGGCCGGGAAGAAGGCGAGACAAGCAGAGGACGGCATCAGCCGCCTCCGAGTCTCGGGACTCAAACAGAACCAGGCGAGCCGGCCCGCGCGGTGCGTGGGGCCGGGACGAGGCGGGCCAGGCGCCGCCGGCACCGCAGACAAGGCGCTGTCCTGCGCCGGAGGAGCACCGGGAGCACGGCAGCGGGCCGGGCGTGAGACGCCCCCCAGCGGCCGGCGTGACGGGCGGCAGTTTCTCCCTCGCGCGGCGCCAGCCGAGAGAGAAAACCGCGGGGCCCCCGGAAGCTGTCTGGCTTCTTCCCCCTCTGCGGCCGCATCCCTTTGCCAGGGAGCGAAGTAACAAGTCCGGAGTTAGGACCCAGAGCCTGTCTCGGGCTCGCGGGACCGCAGGCCGGGAAGCCAAGAAGCGCGCTCGGAGGAGCAGCGGCGGACGCTCGCCCGCCCGCCCGGGCTCTCGCCGGGGTCCACCGCGCGCCTGGAGCCACTGCATTTTCTTTCCAAAGCCCCCTTTTCCAGCGGACGCGCTCTGTTGTTAAAAAGGAATCTTCCCTCTAAGGCTGCCATGACGCTGACAGGTCCGATGCTGGTGCTCATCGCGCTCGGCTCCTGGCCCTCAGGTAAGCACGAGTGACAGCACGTTGGAGCGACAGTTGCAGGATTCTGTAGGCAAAGGAGGCACAACTGTGGTGTTGGCGACGTTAGAATTGCAAGATGTAGTGCTTGGATACGTTTAGGAGGACCTTTAAAATGTGGCCCTAATGAGTAATTCTGTGAAATCTGTTTATTGCTAAAGAAATCACGTCTATGAATTTCGTAATGTTCATGTTTTGTCATTTGGGGTGTTACTCCCTCTGAATCATTATGAGTTTGGTAGGAGGATAGAAAAGCAGGAAAAATGTTATGGAAGGCACTGAATGTTACTCAGAGAATTGTTTCCATATTTGGCACAGTTTACTATATAAACATTTTAATATCATATTTACTAACAATTACTATATCTGTGTGTAGATATTTAATTTTGTCCAATATATTCTGTAGATCCATATAAATATTTTAATAAATTTGTGTATGTAGGTAGATTTAAAATGTTTATATATCACAATTAAACAAAAATGTATTAATGTCTATGAATATGTGTATGTTTTATATGAGGCTTATCCCACTGAAAATAGAGGAATTCTTGTTAAGGAAAAGGACAAATAAAAGGAGAGAGAGACAGAGACAGAGAAAGAGAGGCAGAGACAGAGAGAGACAGAGAGAGAAAGAGAGAGAGAACAAAGAAAGAAAAGGAACGAGGAAGAAAATGCTGCAAAGTTTAGGAGACAGTGGTCATTTGTACCTGCCAGTTTTCTGGGTTTTGGAATCATTTCACTTTTTGTGTAACTTAAAAACAGAAAGCTGTTCCCATGGAACCAGAAACCATCCACAGCCAGGAGCCACAGGGTGAGAAAAGTGTCATTCCGTTAGCAATTTGTATTTATTTCTTAGCAATATTTTTGCCACATTTGATTATTGTGATTTTCAGACACAAACTGGAGGCACTCAGAGACAGCTTTGCCCAAGTCCAGAAATAAGTCCTGGATTTAGAAGCCCTGGGGCTGCGGGGCACACCTGAGCGTTGTCATATCTTCGAAAACAGCCTTTCCTCAGACCAGGGACTCAGACTTTTGCTGAGAGTGGGTGTTGACATGAGGGTGGGAAGAGAACAGGAAAGGAAACGTGACCAAGAATAAAGAGACCAGCAGGCCAAGTCTTAGGTTCCAGTGGAACCTCTGTCTCACACTGGTACTGGGCACCTCGTCCAAACCTCTTGGGGTTTCTGTCACTCCAATCCCTGATGGCTGTAGTCGCTTCTACCTGGATCCTCTCCAGGTAGCCGTGAGATAACTGGCAGCCGTGAGTGGAGGGCTGTTCCCCAATTAATGGCCCATCTTATCTTTTGTGTCTTGGAAACAGCAAATATCGGGCATTAACAGGTCACATTCCGTGGCTGTTTCATGAACTCGAAGATCCTAAAAGCACAGAACATGCAAGCTGCCGGGGCCTCTGCAATCGTCTGCTCCCTGTTTTTATTGGGAGACGTTAAATGCTTGGAATCAGGACCAGAACTCATGTCTCGAAATCTGAGTCTAGTGCTCCTCAGTGTTAAATAAATATTTGCTGGGTTCTCGTTCTAACGAGTGGCGAGCGTGGCCGGGGAGCCGGCATTCTGGCCAAGAGCAGCGTGCTCTGCCGCGCCGGCCGAGTCCCACGCGGGAAGGAGCAGCGCTGGGCAGAGCCACGCGTCCCTGTCTCGGGTGGAGCCCTCCGCACGTGCTCCCTGGTGGCTCGGCCCTCCCCACCCCCCGCGGAGTTACCTGTGTGGCCCCAAAGGAAATATTTTGACAAAGAAAAATGGGATGAAGATTAAGCAGGGAGAAGAGGGAGAAGAGAGAAAAAGGTGCCTAGCGGGATTTAGGGGAACAACAAAATTCCTTTTTTTAACCAAAAGAGATGGTGGAAGCTTTAACAGGCAACAGCAGGCTCTGAGATGTTGCGTTGGACAGTGTGTGCGTGTGGGGGGGGGGGAGTTGGCGGGCAGAGCAGGACCACAGCGAGGAAACGTGAGCGGTCACGGTCGGTTTTGAAGCAGGAATGTGCCTTCGCTGTAAGGCGCGGCTGTCCGCCCCCAAGAAGGTCCCAGGAATGCTCCCTGCGCCAGGTGCCAACTGCAGCAAAGGGAGATGCGAGCAGGGTGACAAAGCACTGTCATCATGGCTGAGTGTCTCCCTCCCACCACACACGTGTCACCCGTGACGTGGTTTTGGAACATCACTCTTCCAGGTCACAGACTGCTTTACACAACAGGAAAGCCTTTGGGAAAATAGGATATTCACAACACAAGAACAACAGAAACAGCGTGACAACAAATGCACGTTCATTGAATCGAGTTGTTGGAACAGTTTCTATGGGGTAACAAGGAGACCACAGTGGAGATGACAGTCATTTGTGTCCCTGGTCCTCAAAAAAATTACGGGCTGGTGAAAAGATTGCTGACGTGGCCAGCAGAAGACCCCGGCCCAGCAGCGGGGAGCTCCTGGGCAGGTCCCCTCTCATATCCTGGTACCGCACCTGTGAAGTGAGGGGCTTAGACGGTGTGAAGCTCCTGCCCGGCTTTACGGCCTTAGCTTCCCTAGCATTTCACTCCTCCTTCATTGATGCCGAAATGAGGGAATCCAAACTTGCCAGAGAGATGCATCTGCAGTGGAGAACACTGCTCTCGATTTGTTGATGGATCACTGTCTAACTAATTTAAAATAGAAGTCAGTTTGCAAACATTTGGTCTACACACAACTTTTCAGGAATCCATTTTTTTCTTAAAACAAAGACCACTTATCCTGGGAATCTTGAACACATCTGTGATTTTGTACCCTCTGGAGCAGTGGGCCGGGGCCGCTCTGCCTCCTCCCCGGGGTCACAAAGGCACCCGTTGTGGCCTTTTGTTCATTCCTCGAACATCATCAGATGTTTCTGGAGGCCCTGGTCTCAAAGAATCAGCTGTGAGGAGCACTTGCCCTTTCTCATGATACTCTATTTCACAAGGACAAACCACAAACACTGCCAGGACTACTGTCCAGGTCTGCTCCAATAGTGCCAGGGACTTCAGATTCTGTTTTGGAAAGGTTCGGAAAATGTGAAGGTATTCGGCAGAAAGCATTTAACCTTTGGCTTCTTTTTTTGGCAAGCTCTGTTTTGGCCAGAACACATTTGCATTAGTCTGCGAGGGCCGCCGTAACAGAATGCCAGGGGCTGGCAGCTCAAACAGCAGACGTTTACTTCCTCCCCGTCCTGGAGGCTGGCTTGCAGACGCTGCCTTCTCGCTGGTCCCCACGTGGCCTTTCCTCTGTGCCACCGCCTCATAGGCTCTGTCTCCAAATATGATCACATTGGGGGTTAGGGCTTCAACATTTGATTTTTTGGGTGACATAAACATTGAGTCCCTAACAGCCAGTACAAGTTTATGCTCTTCCTTCCTTGATTCAGACGGAAGGCTCCCCTGTGAGAGCGCCGCAGGGCGAACGTGCGCAGGTCCCGGGGAGAGCAGAACTGCTCGCTTCCCTGGTGAAGAGCAGGGTGCAGACGTCCTCATGGAGGGCGCGGCTGTGAGACGGCAAATGCTGGGTTGTCAAGGTCATAATTTTAGATTTTCCCTCCCAACATGCAACTCCACCTCCCTTCAAAGTGACTGTACAGTTTTCCTGCCAGGGAAGGAAGTTCAAGGTTATGGTCGTTGCTCTTCTTCAGGAATCCTCTCTCGTGACCAAAATTCTCAGGGTTGTCCAAGCTAACCCGAGAGCGTGTGTGTGCACGCGCGCTGCTTGGTCCAAGCATTATTCAGCTGTTCTCAGCCCCCGCAGAGAGCCTGCGTCCACTGAGAGATGGTGCCCTGAGTACTTTGTGCTACTTGGGCTGAACTGGAACTCAGGCACCCTGAAGGCGGTTCTGCACTCTGCCACCCGCAGCAGCTCAGCAAGTGGTGCCAGCATCAGTCAGGACTGTGGTCAGATGTGTGTCACCGTGGCTACCGTGGCTTAACCAAATAGAGGACTGTTTTTCTCACGTACCAAGAAATTTAGAGGTGGGTAGTCCAGGGCTACAGGGACCCAGGGCTCTGTCTGTCTTTCTATTCTGCCACCGTATGTGTGTAGCTTTCATCAGGATTGCAAGATGCGTGGGTTTCCAAATCTCTAGACACAGTGTCCCAGTTCCAGGCAGGAAGGAGAGGCAGGGCATGCCAGATGGAGTCCATCCTCTGTAACAACCTCTCCTGTAAACTCCACCCAGTGGCTTCCATTTGTATCTAATTGGCCATATGTGTCATGGGCCAGCCCTAGCTGCAAGGGAGCCAGAACAGAGCATTCAAGCTGGCACCGTGCAGCCCTGCGTACATTTAGCATCTGTCATCAGGGGGAAAGGCAGCACGGCTGTTGGGCAGGGAACCAGCAGTGTCTGCCACAGTGCTACTGTGGTTTGAAGGTCCCCTGAAGTCGGGGGGAGTTCTTATAAAAGGATGCATTTAGCCCTCTTTGTCTCTCTCTTGCCCTCTCCTTGCCCTTCCGCCATTGGATGACGCAGCAAGGAGGCCCTTGCCAGATGCCGGCTCCTCCATCTTGGACTTCTCGGCCTCCAGAAGCATGAGCCAGTGCATTTCTGGGCATTGCAAATGACCCAGGCGGTGCACTCTGTTACAGCAGCACAAAATGGATGGAGACAAATGCCTTTCAAGCAATATTCTCCACCTTAGGGGAGGGGGCTGCCTGCTGCAGGGGACGGCTGGAGGAGGAGGACAGCCGTGTCCTCACAGTTTCCCTCTTCTGAGCAATTCAGCTCTGGCCCAAACTCTCCAAACACCACTCAGCAAAACACAAGCCAAGAAGCTGACTGAATTGTCAGCTGGATTGTCAAGTGTCTGTTCACTCAAAAACAGTTTGCTGGGCAGCTGCTCCATGCCGTTGCTGTTCTAGGGGCTGGGGTACAGTGGGGAGGACAGGCCCCGACTTCCTGGAGCTGGCATTGTCTAGGGGCAGACAGACAATAGAAAGGGAAATGTGATATGATTAAGTGCTCCCGTGGAATATAAAGTACCCTACGGGGATTGAAAGAGGAAGGGTCTTTAAATACCATAACCTGGAATGACTTCCTCAAGGAAATGACATTCAAAGACAGGAAACAGTGAAGGAATGGCGGTGGGGCTGTTCAGGGTGGGGGCCTTCCCTGAGCAGAATGTGAACTAAAATAAAATCCTAAGCCCCCCACTTACTGAATGGACCCCCTCTTGGGCAAGGGGACCCCAGAGAAACCTTAAAACTGAGCTTCCAGCCCTGACGGGATGGGAGGTCAGACCTGCCTCATTATTCCCCGTCCCTTGTCCCTCGCTAGCGACCACCAGGCTTTTCCCCAAGGGCTAAACAGACAGCAGTCTCATGCCCAGACCAGCGTTCTCTCCTGGTAGGAGACCACGACCATGCAGTGGGTTTAACTAGTCTACGGGACTTCGTGTCCTTGCTTTGCCTTTTAACATCACAGAGCCACGATTTCTGAACATGGACCCCATGGAGGGGCGTAAAGCTCCTCTGCTTAGGCGCCTATTGCTCCTTTCATAAATATTCATGACTCCTCCTATAGCTTGTTAAATATTTATATCTGGCCATCCCACTCAGCATAAATTCCTGTTTCCATTGTTCCAGCCTCAAAGCACGTTCCTGGCCCTGGCCCAGGACTCTGCTTTGCAGCCTGCTAGGATGGCCACCCCAGGCTGCAAGCCTTTATGAGAAATAAAGCCCTCCTTTCCAAATTATGAACCTTGCCATTTTCTTCAGTTAACTAGAAGCATGCTGGCAGTTCTGGGAAGAGAATTCAGGTTCGAGGGGCTGGGGGGGCGGCCAGCATGGGAGAGGCTAGGGGGCTCAGGCAGTACCACGTGGGGTCTGGGAGGCCGTGGTGAGGACTTGGGGTGTCTCTTTCCATGTTCGATGGGAAACCATTTGGAGAGTTTAGCAGGGAACTGACATAACACTGTTCTGTTTTTAAAAGATCATTCTAGCTAGTGGAAAGCGGACTGTTAAAACGGCAAGAGTGGAAACCATTAGGAAGCAGCACAGAAGTCAGAGAGAGAGAGAGAGAGAACGGAGTTGGCCCTAAGGGTGGTGCCGGTGGCGCAGCCGGAAGCAATGGGGGCTGGCGCAGGCTGTGAAGGGCGTGAAGGCCAGATGTGAGGTAGGAGAGAAAGACAGGACCCAAGGATGCCTGCGGGGATCTCCGCACAGCAAGTGGACACGTGGTCCCTTAGAGGGCATTGCCAGTTAGGTTTTAGGGCATTTTGCAGACCTCTGCCCTGCAGCTGCCCAGCTGTCTTCTCCTAATGCTGCTCTTGGTACTAATAGTAGCTGTCATGGTTCGAGATCAGTTAACTTTTTAAATAAATAAGCACAAACGTACGGTTACACCTCTCCCTACCACTTGTTTGCATTTTAATATTCCTTGTGGAGTGGAAGAGAAAGGAGCGGGTCCACCCAGAGCGCACGGCCCCCCCCCAATGCGATGCTCCTGCGCCGAGGGGGAGGTGTGCTGTTTTGCTTTTCTTCCTAATGTGAATCTTTGGGTTTTGACCCGATGAACCTGGGGCTATGTCTCCCATGTGATCGTGGCCCACAAGTGGGTCTCTCAGTGGGAAAAAAGGGCTTTCTATGATAGCATACGGTTCAGGATGAGTTCCTGTGGGATGTTAACAGAGTGCTGAATATACAAAAAGGAGCCATACACACACACACACAGACACACACACGTGTGTGTATATACACAGATACACACACATATACAAATATCTGTTTAAACTTGATAGCACAGCATTGAAAAGAAACAAAACATACTCCTGAGCTGCGTTCCTAAGCCATTTCCTCAACCAGAGGGTTAAGGCTTCAGGTTAGAGTGTGTCTTAGCCTCTCGCACACCGAGGGGCTGAGAGGAGTGTTACAAGCAAGGACGACTTCATGAGGAGGACGTCTCAGGAGGGGGCAGGAGAACCGTGCGGGCACCTGCTCGGTGCCAGTGGCCGCGCTCACGCGTAGACAACACCGGCTGTTCATCTGGTGTGTACAGAACGAGCCCCTGGCGTGGGCCGTGAGCTATTCCAGGTGCTGGGTGAACATGACCAGACACAATGGACGTTGTGCCACCGTCACAGAGCTCAAGGGACGGCAGACACGACAAACATACAACAGAGCGCGATAAGGGACGTGTAGAGAAACGAGATTCCAGGACAGAGCTCAGCTGGCGGGCAGAGCCCATGTCTGCAGGGAGGTGGGAGAGGGGTGGCTGTCCCTGATCCTTTGGGGACAAGTGCCCCCTGATGGGGGCGTCCGTGAGAGAGCAAAGCTCCAGGGAAGGTGGAGAGTCTGTTTTCAGCTGTGTTTGCAGGAAGCTGGGCGCGGGCACAGGGAATGGGCTCACGAAGACCCCTGTGCACTCAGGGCCGCTTTGCTGAGTGGGCTGTTTGGAACCAGGCGACGGCTGAGGCCACCGGATGCTAACCCGGGGCCATGCCTCTCCCATCAATGCAGCCCCTCGTGATTCTTTTACAGCCACTGCAGGATTCAGTTCAATGGCCGAAAATGAAGACGCCCTCCTCAGACATTTATTCCAAGGTTATCAAAAATGGGTGCGCCCCGTGTTACATTCTAATGACACCATAAAAGTGCATTTTGGATTGAAAATCTCGCAGCTCGTAGACGTGGTGAGTAATCCTTGGCACTCAGCTAAAAAAAAAAAAAAGCATGCATTCTTTAACCTGTTTGAGAGTCTAGGATATTTTTTCTTTCCCTGTGTCTGACATTTCAATTTTAAAAATAATTCACTGTGAGAAAAAAAAATCTGCCCCCAAGAAGCCAGTGAGACGACCTGAAGGAAGAATGAGGAGTTGTCACAGGGTAAATTTTCGTTGTGACACTATTGGTGTGGGGCCTTTTTGCTGGGGGTGGACACGGTCGCTAGGATGGTCGTTGCTGAGCACCGAGGAGGGGACTGGGGAGCTGCAGAGGGGCTGAGCCCGGGCTGACCCGGTGTGATCCCGGCTCCTCCCGGGCTGTGCCCTGGAACGGCGGGGCGTCTTCGGGGAGACAGGGCCATGGTGGCAGCGCCCAGGGCAAGGGCCATCCCTGCCCCCTGGGCAACTGCCACCTTTCCTGAACTCACCCCTACCTTAACATCCTCTGCCTGCCAGTTCCCTGCTGGGCTTGCATTTCTGCCAGGACTGTATCCCTGGGGGAGGTCGTTGACCTATAGCTCCCCAAATGCAGCAAAACTGTCCTGCTGTGGTCCCCACAGCTCCAGAATAATCCTTCCACGCTGCCCAAATTCATCGCCCCACCACACACACGACACACTCACCCACCCCGGCCAGCACAATACCCTGCATTCCTTCTAGAAAATCACCCAAAAGCCGCCTGCTATTTAGCTGACATTTCCTTCTACCCTTAAAGTGCCCTGTGGGTTGTTGTCACAGTGACCTACTACTTGTTTTAGTTATTATTTTTCATTTTAAGCAAAATAGCTGGACTCTTTCAGGATCACATGCCACTTAACTGTTCCTTAAGTTGACAATCTTTTTGCACCTGGAACACCCCAAATGTAAGATTCAGACAGGCTTTTCTGTTAAAAAGCAAAAAACCCAAAAAACACAACTTTCTTTAATTTCATTTTACAACATTTTCTTAATTGTCATTTCCCTAGGACGAAAAGAACCAGCTGATGACGACCAACGTGTGGCTCAAACAGGTACATCTCAATCCGAGGGCTGTGTCTGCCGACCCAGCCACCGCAGCTCTGTTCTGCTGAGACGGGCTCCCGGCCGAAAGTCGTTATGTTAGAGGGCAAGATGTGTTCCGCAGGGAGACGTGAGAACTGCCGGGAAGGGTCTGTCGTTTTTATTTCCTCTTGCGAGTGTTAGAGACCAGGGCGAGGCGGCTCCAGGGAACACGTGCTCTGTGTTGCTGCTCCCGGGAGCAGAAGTGCCCGAGGGGCGGTGGGGCCACTTGTGGGGTGGAAGTTACCTCTCCGCGACGGTGAGGCCTGGGCCGTGCTCCGGGGCCCTTGGAGAAAAGAAAAAGGAGACCCCAAGATGCAACTCTTGCCCCCGTTTAGGGTTTAGGGTACTGCCGCTGGGTAAGGAAATCAGCGACACTGAATTGTCCCTCCTCCCCTCCGACCCTCCCCAGGTAGGTCCCCTTTGATGCACTTGTCCTGCCTGAGAAAGAACCGGGTCCACGAGGCAGTAGCAGAAGGCTGCCCACCGTTACTGTCAGAGCAAAGTGAAGCCCAAAATAGAAAAATGACACGTCTTTTCCTGACATCACTAAACGTGCATTTTGAATGGTGTTGCCAGCTTGCTTCTCAGACGATGGCTCTGAGCCGGGTAGAGCTTGTCTCCCGGCCCAGAGGAGCCTGGCCGGAGGGCTTGCTCTGTCCAGAGTTGTCGGGAAATCATTGCCATTCAAACCCAATTTCACATATGTTACGTGCAAGGAGAAAATATTTTTAATTGAGAAATAATAATTGAGCACATTCCTGGGGTACGCAGCGATGGTTCATGCAAACTGGCCAGAGTGAGAAGACACTGACGCTTGCTTGATAGCAGGTGAGAAGGTTGGTTTAATTGCTTATTTTTTGTTTTTGTTTTGTCAGCAATTACTTGTTTTGTAATGAATGTCCAGATATTGCCTAATCTGCCCATAGAGTTAAAATGTTCCTGCTGGGGTTATTTTAGATATCTCACTTAATTGTGACACACGTACATAACACCTTTCATTTGTTTATATCAAAGTACGTTGGTTATCTATTCGGGTTTCGTAGACGTTGTTCAGTCCTTTCTGCTAATGGTTTATAAGGAACAATGAATAAAAGAAACTGAGGCGACTCCTACGCTTTAGTTTGTGTCATCGAATTTCTGCCACCCAAAAACTCTACTCAGAGTTAGAGGAGTATATAACTTTTATTCCTTTCTATTGCTCTGGTTCTTTAATTGGTAGATGTGCTAGCAAGTGAAGTGGATCTGCGTATTGTTTACTTGCAAATAAAAATATCCAGGAGAGAATATTGATAAGCTGGGAATGTATACATAAAAATACAACTTAAATAAACATACCTTGGTATAGGCCTATCTCATGGCCCACTGCCTTATCCTACTCTGGCGTTTAGAGTGCTGAGTTGATAGAGCCCAATAAGAAGTCTCCGTTTGAGCTGGCAGGGAGAGAAGAGCCTGCTCTTTTCTCTTAAACTGTAAACAGGTTTAGGAAGTTAACAAAAATAAAACAAATAAACAAAAAAACCTCTTCCTTCTTCACACACACGTCCTTCCCCAACTGTTCCTTGAGATCAAGTTTTTATTAATCTCTCACATGTATCAGTGGTCCATGGACTCTTGGTCTTAATACTGAGACAGTAGGTGCTTTGCACTTGTCTTGTGAGTTTGGAAGCAAGGAGGCATTTCGGCCAAAGAGAACAGCATGAGACATGAGGGGTCAAAGCCACGGGCTCCCTGGGCCTCAGCCATGGCCCTGGACAGGACTTCCGGCAAAGCTGTGCCGCCAGAATCCCAGCGCCCTGGTGAATGCCCACAGATCAAGACTGAACCAAATCCTAAAAATCCACAGCACCCAAAACAGAGCAAGGGAAATCTGTAGGAGTGCAGTAAGGTGACATTTGGAACGGTCAGCCTGCTGACAAGTTACCACTTAATAGAAGTGATGAGAATAATAGACTTTAATTGCACTTGAGTCACAAGGGGTCGTCATAGCTCTTACCTCGTTTAAACCTCTCGGCCGCCTGCATTAGGAAAGGAGACATCGTTGCCCCGTTTTACAGAGATGAGCAGTCTAGTCACTCATCTGGCCAGACTCTGGGCTTCCCGACTCCTGGCTGGAGCCTTTCCTCACTGCACACTAAGCCCGGCTCTAAAGCACAGGAGCAGCCGCCACAGCTGCACGTTCCGTAGAGCTGCAGAGAACATTGTCAGAGTGACCGAGTCAGGAGTGGGATATGTTACAGGGGATATTAGTCAGCAAGTATGTGTTATGGCGCAAACAATGTAGGGACAAAGCAGCAAGGTGGATTCTATGGCATTGGGCGTCAAGCAGGGAAGGCTGCATGGAAGAGGAGGCATTTGAGCTTGGCCATGATGTTACTTTTATATTTTTTAAAGCTTTTTAAAGCTAAAAGGATAAAACAAAAGGGATGGAAAAAGCAAAATAAAACTGATGTTTATAAAACTCACTAGAGTTTTACACAGATCTTAGTTCCAGAACAGCTAATAATAATACTACCTAAGATTTATTGAGCATTTATTAAGTGCCCAGGCACTGTGCTGAGTTACAATGGGAATGATCCCATTTAATTCTCACAGCCATCCTATAAGGTAAGCTCTATTATTATTCAACTTTGCAGGTGAGGAAACTGAGGGCTGGAGAACTGAAGGACTTGTCTGAGGTTCCGCACTGTTAGGTGAAGTTGGGCTTATACAACAGAGTCATTCTCTTGCCTGAGCCCAGAGGGAGCTGACGGGGTGTCCTGGTCCCTTCTGGGTAACTGTTTCTGTCTAGTCTATTTCTTCACCCCAGTCTTCTGAGGCTTTGATTCCTCAGCTTCTGGGACATCTCTCGGAATTGGCATAGAAAGATGCTCAGGAGAGGATGAAGTTGGGGTCCACTTCATCTTCCCATAGAACAGGGTTTACTGAGAGCCTGAGTGCCAGGCACTTTGCTAGATCCTGGATCTGTTAATATAGAGAAGGGTCAGCTACAGCCTTGCCTTCAGAGAGAGGACAAGTGTTAGTTATGTAAAAAGTAATTCCTGCGATAGGGTAAACACCATGACGCACGTAAACAAGACAGGGAGAAAGTCGGCGAAAGCTTCCAAGGGGAAGAGGTGTCTGATTCGCGTCTCGTAGGACAAACGAACACGCACAACCGAGACGCTTCTTTTCCACCTGATTCTCTGCCTCGCCCTCTGTTTCCACAGTTCTCTGGCATATTTAGACCTTCCTCTCTGTCTTCCCAACCAAAGACCTTGCCAAAGCGCAAACTATGACATCCAGAGAAAGGCTTCTGCATGGAGCTATTTTTACTTTATTGATTTTGTTTGGCAAACTCCTTTGTCTTCCTCCTTTGTACTTCCAAAGAGTAATCAAAACCCTATAAACCATAAATATATTATTAACATTGACTCACTGAAACTAGGTGAGGAAGCAGTCAACGCCCCAGCCCCTCGGATTCTGCACGGTCACATCCAAGGTCAGGAAAACTGCCTCTCGAGCACCTTAGAGGAAACGGAAAACGCAACTGACCTTTTTATTAATGACACCAGGGTGGGCCCTTTGCCTAGATGTTGCCATATGAATAATCACTATGACAACCAACGCATATTCACTCTGCAGGCATTTCCCAAGGGCCTGCTCTGCCCTGGGTACCACGTTAGGCCCCAGCTGAGCTCTGTGGAAACAAACTCCAATAAGATGATGAGGCTGTTAAGGGACCCGGCTTTGCCGCAGCTGGGACAGTCTGCTCTCCTATCCCCATGACGATCCTGAGGCAAATAAAACTGCGGACTGTCCGCCAAGCCCGACATCTTGAACTAGTGGCATTTCTCCAACAGCTGATTTCTGTTCTAGATCGACAGAAAGTTCAGCAAACATGATGGAGGCCTCGTTGGACAGCTCCCTGGAGCTGGTCTTTGAGGAGAAATGAGAAACGAACCGCTGAGGAAGGGTCAGGCCAGCCCTAAAGGTCTGGGAGATCGCCCCACAGGTCTCGCTCTCATCCACAACCTGGAATGGCATTTATAAATCCATGCACTGATCTCAAAACACGATGCATCTTACTCTCCTTCCTTCTCTGTAGCCTCACTCGGACCTTAGCCAAGCAGGCCAAGTTTGGACCTTTTGTTCAAGTGGACCCTGGGTAAGAATCGAAGAGGGGTCAAAGGCCTACTATGTAAACTTGGGCAAGTCGTTTCACCTCTCTGGCCCTCAGTTTCTTCATCTATAAAATAGAGGCAATGCCTACCCAGCAGTGTCACTGGGAATGTGACAAGCTCAATAAATGTCACTCCCTCTTGCCACCTTTGTGAGCTTTTTCATCCTTAATGTCAAACCACACTTCTTGGCCTTAATAACTTATGGATTTAATGGACACGTGAGACACATAATATGTTATGTTGCTGTCTTTAAGATAAGTGAATCAACACTGATTTGGCTTTAAGAATCTCACATCTGACTAGGATAACTGGAGCTCTCAGGGATGTCCCAGCGGCTGCAAATCAAGGCAATAGCAAGGCATTATTCCTTATTATCTTTTGATCTTAATATTAAAGTAAGAATAATTTGAGGATTTTATTTACAGGAAAACAAAAAGTCTTATGATTTAGGTTTAAGTAACATTTGGCTCTGGGTTGTAGTTTAGCTAGACTTTTATGAGTGATAGTTCCAGTAATATATGTAAGAAAAGACAATTTTAAGGGAATATGTATATTTGACATGGATTTGAAATTGCACTTTTCTGAATTAAGAAACCCAGACTTGGAGTATTTTTCCATTTTTTTTTTGTAGTCATAGATTAACTTTGATATTTGGCTCTGACATACCCTGTGCCGTCCTGTTTCCTGCAAAAACACGGCTCTCAAAGCAGGAACGGCTGTGATCCGGAGCCGATGTTTGTGGAGGTTTGAGAGGCTTGGCTAAAACGCGCTACGCAAACACGAGATACTATTTCTGATCCCTTACTCTAAGAAGGGAGAGACAGGAGATTAATCTCCAGATGCCACCAGGGTTTCAGAGAGCACAGGGCAGTGACCAGAGCGTCTCACAGCCCCTTAGAGAACACAGCTGGCAGCGTCCCAGCTGGGCCCCTTGCATGTCCTTGAGTTTGTGCCATTCTACACCCGCGGCCATCCTGGGTCACGGGGCGCAGCCAGCACTGTGGTGGGCTCATGTCCTGCTAGGAGTTGGGCGAGCCCTCTGCATGGCGCCTCAGAGAGAACGAACTCTGTGGCCCCCAGGTCTGGTGGTAGAAGGACACCAGGACTGGGGGGAGTGACTCTCTCAGCCCTGCGAGTGAAGGTCGGTGGCTTGTCTCGGTGGTGCAACCAGCTCGGGGCTTCTGACCCTAAGCCAGGGTGCCTTCTCTCTTGGGTGCACTGAGGTAAGCAGCACTGACCAAAGTCCCACCCAGCTCCGGTCAGGACGCGACCTGCGCCCACTCTGGCTCCCTTGTGTCCTCCTCAGTAATTCGAAGGCGAAGGCATCCCTCACTCATCCGTCCTCTGGCTCCTGCCCCGACGCCTTCCCTCGGGCCGTCGCGTCTAGGGCCTGCCTTCCCCCTGCCCGCACCACCCCCACTGCTCTGATGCCTCCCCCTGCACGTCTCAGTGTAAACGTGACCCCCTGAGAAACCCCTCTCCTGTCTACTCGGCTGTGTGTGTCACATGCACAAACTGGGTACCTGCTGGTTGACTTGTTTGTCATCCGAGTCGGCCCCAGGCGAGGAGGACAGGGCGGCTGTGCCCGGGGCTAGCCTGTGCCTCGCAGATTTGTTGAGCGAATGATTCCTCAAACACTGTGAGCCCAGGAACCAGTCCCCGTGCGTTCTCTCTGGCCACAGCTGCTGGTGCTGCGGCTGGAGGTCAGCTGAGCAAGACAAATCTTTCCGACTTAAAAACCCCTCTCCTGGGGCTTGCCCCAGTTCCCTCAGAACAATTTGGAAAACCGGGATTTGTTTGCTGTGATTTGCAGCAAGGCAAGAGCCCTAGAATGTCAATCGCCCTCTGCCTCGTCTGGGGGCTAGAACCGGGGGCGGGAGCCTGGCGGTGCCTGTGGAGGGGGAACTGCATCTGCGAAGTGGGCCGTTTGCTTTCCAGACATTCCACCGAGTAAGATACATGGATGGCAGATAAGCACATGAAGACGAGCATGATTAGCCATTAGGAAAACATGTTAAAAACCACAGTGAGATAGTTCTTCACATCTATTATAGTTAAAATTTTAAATGTGACAATGCCAAGTGCTGTAGAAGATGAAAACCAGCTGGAACCCTCATGCTTTGCTGGGGGCAGTGCAAAGTGATTCAGCCACTCTGGAAGACTGTCTGGCAGTTTTGTACAAAGTTAAATATATACTTAGTATATAACCCAGCTGTCTCTCTCCTATTTACACAAGAAAAATAAGAATTTATTTCATGCTAAAAGCTATATAAAATGCTTACAGTGGCTTCATCAAAAACTTGAAAGAATTCAAATATCCTAACTGGTGAATGGAAAAATTGTGATACATCATACAATGAAAAACCACCCACTAATAAAAATGAACAAACTACTGATGCAACAACAGAGAAGAATCTAGATGCATTGCTAAGTCAGTAAGTCAGGATCTATGATTCCACTTATATGACATTCTGGAAAAGGCAAAATTATTGGAACAGAAAAGTCAGGGCTTGCCAAGGGCTGGGATGGATGGATTGATTACAAAGGGACAGCACAGGGGAATTTTGGGGGCGACAAACTGTTCCGGTATCTTATTGGTGGTAGTGATTAAACAACTGTCTGCGTTTAGAACTGTGCACAAAAAGAGAGGATTTTATTGTAAGTAAAGTTTTAAACAGTGAACAAAGTGGAAGTGAAACAAACAAAAAATGGTACTGTGGGTTCGTTCCCTCCAGCATCTCTGAGATTCGGACCCGTGACGATGGTAAGAGTCTCCTTAGCAGGAGGCGCATTATTCGTAGGGAGGAAATTATATTTGTTCTTCAAAATGGGCAGAGGGGGAGGAAACACGAAGCCTGTGAGTAGCAAGTGAACATGGTGAAAACTTTATTAGATTGGGCTCCTAAACTGTCAGTCTTCATGTGCATGATTTTATGTAAATAGTCATGCGATTTTTTATACTTTAGATGCTAGCTTTTTAAAAGCCAATAACTTTTAAAATTTGTTTTTTAAAAATCCAGTCTCAAAAATATTGTTTAAGATAATGTCTCACCCGGGGTATACAGTCTGTCATTTTTCAGGCATCATACATATTTCAGTATTTTGCCATCCAGTTAAGTCTTCCATCTGCTGACTCCTGATTTTTTAATGACAAAGTTGGCGTCCCCAAGCTCCAGGAAGCCTCACACTGGGCATGCACGTCTAACTCGCTGAAATGTCATTTAACATTATCCTGTGTAATTACTCAACTATGCACTTGAAGGACAGTGGAATAGAAGAATTTAATTTTCAGGTCAGATTCCATAAGATTCTGTATCCAAAATTTTTTTAATTAAGTCCACTCATTCCTTGTTTATCTCAATGTCAGTAAATAAATCAATAAAGGCCACTGTGCTGTGATTGGGTCACCCACACATCATCCGCTTGACCTTCCTCATCCGATCGATGGATGGTCAGGTTTATCTATCTGGAATCATCATCCCCCATAAAACATGCAAAGTTACTTCACCCTTATGAAGAAAAATATGTAAGCATCTGGAGGCTAACAATATTAGGAATATAATTTAAAATTGTAATAGAGAGCTCAAAAAATAAATTGATTAAAAATTAAGGGAAAATTCTTGGGAAATTTTTTTTATTGGATAAAAGTTATCATGTTATCAAGAACAGTCAGTGGATACTGGATGTTTCATATTAACATCCTGAGTGGATGTTTGTCCAAGACACTTGAGTGATGTTCAAAATCATTTGTACCCATTATGATGACATTAAAAACATCACTGGACCAACCCTCCTAGAATAAACTGGGTTAGAGTCTTCATTGCTTTTTTTTGTTTCTTCAGAGAAAACAGGCTGAAAATACGGATTACGAGTCAGCGGCAGTCGCCGAGCCTCTTCGTTGTGAGGTAGATGTGGCGATTTGGGAAATATTAGCACCAAACAGGCAAGGTGTGTGCGCCCGGGCTGGGTCAGAACCCGCCCGCTGTACGGAATCCCAGACAGGTTCGTGTGCGGTCTAACCGGACATGTTTCCCTTCCTATTAGAACAGTGCACTGGCAAACTAACAGAAACTTGAAGAACCTAAGGTCTAATACATTGAATTTGCAGCATGAAATTACAGTATACTAATTCATGCAGGAGTGGACGGACCACAAATTACGCTGGAATCCTGATGAATATGGAGGAATTAACTCAGTTAAAGTTCCATCAGAGTCTCTCTGGCTTCCTGACATCGTTCTCTTTGAAAAGTAAGTATCACAGAAGAAAACTATACTGGTCAGATTAACGCTAGGAATAGAAAAGTCTGATTTAGGCAAAATAATTAGGAAAAACATTCAATGTTAAGCAACAAAAGAATGGTTTCTTTTTAGACCATTGTTTCACCTGTAGTAGAAAAGTAATAAAATACAGGTAGTACAGTGCTGGGGGAAAAACCCAAGCTAGTAAGTGCTCAACTAACCAGGACAGTGAAACCGCTTTGATTGCAGTGCAGATGGACGTTTCGAAGGCTCCCTCATGACCAAGGCCGTGGTGAAATCCAATGGCACCGTCGTTTGGACTCCGCCCGCCAGCTACAAAAGCTCCTGCACCATGGATGTCACATTCTTCCCGTTTGACCGGCAGAACTGCTCCATGAAGTTTGGATCCTGGACGTACGATGGTACCATGGTCGACCTCATTTTGATAGACGAAAATGTGGACAGAAAAGACTTTTTTGATAATGGAGAATGGGAAATACTCCATGCGAAAGGGATGAGGGGAGACAGGAGAGATGGTTTCTATTCGTATCCATTCATCACTTACTCCTTCGTTCTCAGGCGCCTGCCTCTGTTTTACACTCTCTTCCTGATCATACCCTGCCTGGGACTGTCTTTTCTAACAGTTCTCGTGTTCTATTTACCTTCTGACGAAGGAGAAAAACTTTCATTGTCAACGTCTGTCTTAGTTTCTCTGACAGTTTTTCTACTGGTGATTGAAGAAATAATCCCATCTTCTTCCAAAGTCATTCCTCTCATTGGAGAGTACCTGTTGTTCATTATGATTTTCGTGACCCTGTCAATCATTGTTACTGTTTTTGTAATTAACGTCCACCATAGATCTTCCTCAACATACCACCCCATGGCTCCCTGGGTGAAGAGGCTATTTCTGCAAAAACTGCCCAAATTACTTTGCATGGAAGACCACGTGGATCACTACTCTCTTCCAGATGAAGATGAGCGCAAACCAGTAGTGAAAGGTAAAGTTCTAGAAAAAAAGAAACAGAAACAGACAAATGATGGGGAAAAAGTTCTGATTGCTGTCTTGGAAAAGGCTGCTGACTCCATTAGATACATCTCCAGCCACGTCAGGAAAGAACATTTCATCCGCCAGGTGAGTAAACTAATATTCACAGTAACACTGCCATCGAGTCTGCCGAAGACGAATATTTTGACAGCTATTTACAATAAAATGCTGTCATTATTTGAAATGTGACATTATTAGATATTGTCTTTACATATATACAGTTTTAAACAAACCCAGACATAAAATAAGGATATTAGTATAAATTTTTAGGAATTAGTTCACAAAAACATTATGGAGCAAAAGTAGGCAACTGTAGATTAAGCACTTTCCCTTATAATTAGCCCCAATTCTATTTTAAATAATTCAATTGTACATAGTAAGTTGGTTATCCCGGTCTCCGATGATTTACCTTTCATTTTTCATGGGACGATAGATATTTTCATCCACGGTATTTGGAAATTAAAAAAACCAGAAAGAATCATATCTTTAAATTAACATAAAATTTAGTGTTACAACAGATATTTTGGTGAGGGAAGAGAATGCTGTAAAAGTTAGTTTACAGATTAAAAAAAAATGTGGAAAGAGTGTGGATTTCAGACTTAAAACAGTTCTGGGCTCAGATCCCACTCTGAGTCTACCCTTGAGACAAGTTACTTAACCGGAGCTTCTGTTTTCTAAAACCTACCTTGAAAGGTTATTGTGAGGAATAAAATGTATGTCATAAAATATAAAACACACACAGTGTGCCCAGCTCACATGGACTGGCCTC